TCTTTCTGTGGTTGTTGTTCCTCAGTTGAGTGTGTGGCATCCAAGAGACTGTGGCAAGAAAAGAGAACAACTGAATATCCCAGACTCTGCATAGAAGTTGGTAAGGTTTTATTTGAAAACAATTCAGTTGTCTTTAGTCCTTGGCAAAACCTTCTTTGTTGAATGTTATTACAATAACTCTGATGTAGCCTCATAAAGCATGTAGTCTAGGATACCTTATGATAGTTGGATTGCTTTGAATTGGAATCAACTTGCGGATACAGAATAGTAACATCTATAATATGTGTCTATATATAGTGATATAAATATGAATATTGTGAAATAAATAATGAGCGATATATATGTTTTAAAAACAAAATCCTCACTGAGTCAGTGCCAACTATAGCAATCATATAGAACATTATAGAACTACCCTGTGAGTTTCTGAGACTGACTGGTGGTTTTGAACTGTAGACCTTGCAGTTATAGCAAGGCATAGCCACTATGCTCCCAGGACCCCAGTAGGCATATGTTGTAAGACACACTCATACTTATCACTTTCTAGATAGAAACTGCAAATATATTTTGTCTACCTACATCACCAATTTAAGCTCAAAAAAACAATATGAAATTGATTTTCTAAAAAAAACTTTACTTGTATTTGAAAACAAAACCTAGCTGGTGTTTTAATTTCAATGTCTTAAATTATGATGAAGTCAAATATCTTTTCAAATGTTTAATTCTTCAGATAGGAAAAAAACTTCTCAATTTTTATTTATTTATTTATTATTAATTTTAGTCCACTATTCTTCTGCATTGATTTAAAACTAAAAGATTGGTGAAATCTACTTAAAAATATGCCTACAAATGTGTTACAAATGTAATTTACCTGTTTGATACTAATTTTGCTTTTGACTATGCCACTATGGGGGGAATAATGTGATAAGATGCATTAAAGAAGTTGTGGAATTTCTTCTGTCCATTATTATTGTTAGGCATTGCTGAACTGGCTGTACTTCATAGCCTATCTATATTTAATATGATCAAATGGAATGTTGCCCATTCCTACATCATCTTAACAACCATTGCTATATTTTGGCCTATTATTGCAGCCACTGAGTCAATCCATCTCATTGAGGATCTTCCTGTTTTTCTCTGACTTTACCTAGCATTATGTTCATC